GGCTGTGGGGTCAGACAAACCTAATCCTGGTACTTCCTCTTTCTGACTGTGTGACCTTGGGAAAAGTACTTAGCCACTCTCTGCCTCAGTCATCTGGTCTACAAAATGGACATCATAATCCCCAAATCACATGATGGGCACTCAATAAGTTGAAGCTACTATCATCAATAAAAAATTCATTATAAAGAATATATATGTATATAATAAAACTCCTACTGCATTCTCACTAAGAATGTTTAAACTAAATTATGAGGAAACAATGTGATAATCTGAACTCAGAAATATTTTAGAAAACTTGCCTTCACTCTCCAAAAATGTCAATGTCATGGAAAAAAAAAAGAGAGAAACTGTTTTAGAGTAAAGAAGATGAAAGAGACATACAACTAAATGCAAATTGTGTTCCATGCTTGGGTTATATACACACACGTGTGTGTGTATATGTGTGTGTGTGTGTGTGTCTGTAATATCATTGGGATAATTGGGAGATATGAAAATCAACTGTATACTATATAATGATACTGTAGCAATGTTAAATTTCTTTATTGTGATAATTCCACCATGTAAATGATCTCATTCTCAAGATGTATGCTGAAATATGTCATGCTGTCTGCAAATAACTCTCAAATGGTTCAGAAAATTTTATGTGTAGAGATGGCGGAGAAAAAACAAGACACAGAAAGGAAGACAGAAAGAAAAAGTGGAGAATATGTACCAAAATGTTAACAACTGGTATATCTAGGTGAGTATATGGGTGATCCAATTCTATTATTCCAATTTACCCTGTAGATTTTACATTTTACAAAGTAAAAACTTTGGGAAAGTGAAACCTAATGGTTTTAGAAAATGATACTCTGGCTAGTGGCTGACTGGGGAAGGAGGGAGGGACTAGTGGGGGAGCATGGTTGGGAGCTTTCCTGACTTCTGTGAATGTCCTATTTCTTGAACTGAGTGTGTTCACATCTGGAGGATTCACTGGGCTTGGCACCTAGAATTTCTCCACTTTTTGTTAGTTGGTAACATGCCAATAGATAAAGTTTATTTAGAATCATCATCATGATAAAGCATCCTTCCCAGCATCCTATCCACTGATCTGGGTCTGTAAACGCAAGATGGGTCCAGGCTGGAGGGAAGGCTGGGGCGGGACCATTCTTCCTGAGAGGAAGGACAGCAGGGTGTGAGCCCCATGACAGCCTGACCCCGCGGGGAGGAGGCAGGCTGATGCTGGAGGTGCCCCAGCCTGCCCCTCTGAGCCATGCCCAGTTCTACAGCCAGCCCCTGCGGCAGGAGGGTGGCCTTGACTCCACATTTCTCAGGCCCCGTGTTCCCCTCTCCTGTCAGCCCTGTGGGCCCAGAAGGATGTGGGCTTAATGAGCCATCTCATCTTGTGTGAGAAGTCAGTCCAGGGGTCACATTTTCCTCTCCTTGCAGTGTTTCCCCATGTGCTTGATATGATCTGCTTCACTAGCTGGAGACACAAATGTAGTCGTGTCTCTCTGCTTTGCAGATTAATTGCTGGAATCTTCATCAGCCTAAATTAAAAGAAACAATAACAATGGCTAACACTTACATGGAGCTCACTACATGCCAGATCCTGTTCTAAGCACTTCACATACATAACTCATTTAATCTTACAACAGCCATCTCATAGGCAGAGTCGTTGTTGTTTTTTCTTAATCCATTTTACAGATGGGGAAATTGTGGCACAGAGAAGACATTTGCCAAGAAGGACTGACTGCATAATTACCATGGCCAAGTGCAAAATGAAAATGGAGGAGGGTACTCATTCAAAAATTTTTAATATAAAAAAAGAATGAAACATTGCACAATATGGATGGACCCATACATTATCTTACTAAGTAAACCAGATAAAGACAAATATCATATGATATGTGGAATCTTGAAAAAATGACACAAATGAACTTATTTACAAAACAGAAATAGACTCAAAGACACAGGAAAAAACTTACAGTTACCAAAGTAGGGGGAAGTTTGGGATTAACATATACATAGCACTATATATAAAATAGATAAGCAATAGGACCTACTGTATAGCATAAGAAACTATAATCAATATTTTGTAATAACTTACAAGAGAAAAGAACCTAAAAAAGAATGTGTATATATAGGAAATCGCAACTCACTCCAGTATTCTTGCCTGGGAAATCCCATGGATAGAGGGACCCAGCAGGTGACAGTCCCTGAGATCTCCAAGAGTCAGACACAACTTAGCAACTAAACAGCAACAAATATATATATTTATATATATATATACACACACATATACATATACATATATATATCTGAATCACTTTGCTATACTCTTGAAACTAACACAACATTGTAAATCAACTATATCTCAGTTTTAAAAAAGAAGCCAAAAACTAAATTTAAATTTATTACGACTTCAATAAATTTTTTAAAATTTATTAAGACTTTCAAGACAGCAAGCATTAAGCCCAGCATGGGACCTGTTTAAGGCAGGCCCCTATGAGACCATACAGGTCTTCAACCCATGAGGTCAGGCCAGGGAAGTAGCAGAGTAGGAACTCGAACCCAAACAGTCTGACTCCAGAGTCCATCCTCCTAACCACTGTGCTACACTACCCCTCTACCCTTAGGTCCTCCTCCCCTTACTTCCCGCAAGCTGCCCAGGAACTGGCGCCATGTACTCCGTGCACCGGGATGTGTCCAATGTTTGAAAGCCAGGTGGAGACAGAACGGAACACACTAACCGGCCTGCTGCCACAAGGGGTCGCTGTTGAAAACTGGTCCTGCGCAGTTTCCACCTCCACATTTACAGCTCAGTCCTGACCCAGCCCTGGATACGGCAGGGCTCCACATTTGAACTTCAGGCTACAGCTCTTTTATTTCACACACTCTTAAGTGCATCCACTGCTCCCACAGCACGACCTCTACCAGAATGCCTAGGAGTCTCTGCTTTGTCAACTGCTGGGTGGGCACCAGCCTCCCTAACGAGCACCTAAGCCTGCTATTAGCTTGGTTCACCTATCCAGATTTTCCATTTCCTGATCCCGAGGTTCTCCTGTGGGACCCCCTTCTATCCTTTTTTGCCAAAGGATTTCAGAGAGGCCCAATTCCGTCCATCAGAAAGGCTCCAGTAATCTTAAACCTCAAAAGGGAAAGGTCAGTCAGGGTCTTGACCTCAGTCCTCCCATATGCAAATATCCTGCCTCTGTGATCAGCTCAGCAAAACCTTCTCAGAATCACATAATTCCTTTCTTCCGCCTTTTCCCAGAGCAATGTGCTTGCCCACTTAACAAAGCACTGCATAACATGCGAAGAGGAACTACTCATTTGCCAGAAAATCTAGTTTTGTCTTCCTAGGCACTCCATTACAGAGTTTAACATGACTGGCACATCAGTGTCATACCCAGATACTTTCTTAATAACATAAGTGGCTAAAAACGGTTGGAAAATGAGACTTTAAAGGCTGAAGGATAGGAGGAGAGGGCAGAGCAGGTGGCATGTGAGTACTATAACCTCCCTCATGAACACTGGCTCATGAGTCCAGGAATGTCTGGATTACTCTGGGTACCATGGGTATCGCTGCAGTTAAGCTTGCATCCAGAGTTCCCCTCTGTATTAGAAGCATATTCAGCTACAGGTGACAGAATATTAACCAATAGTGGACTAAACTGAGATTATTTTCATCTGACAGAAATCTGGAGGTAGGCTAGTTACTGGCACTGGTTATTAGCTCATGGTGGTGTCATAACACTTCTCTTGATCCTTCCCTCATAGAGGCTGATGGCTGCCACAGCTCCAGCCTTTAAATCTTCATCCAAGGCAAAAAGGAGAAAGGGCAAGAAAGGGCAGCACCAGCAGCATCCAATGCTTTTACCAAGAAAGGAAAAGCCTTCCTAAGAGTCCACAGCAGGTTTCAGCTCAATGCCCCATTGATCTGAGCTGTGTCCCATGCCTTTCCCGGCTACAAGGGAGACTGGGAAAGTGAGCCATTTCTCTGAGGCTAAGACATTGTCACCACAAGCAAAACTGGAATGTCACAGCAAAGAGGAAGATGCCGCACCCTTCCCCCTACAGTCTTTCTAGGTGGCACAGGGCTCCAGGGCACCTTCTCAAAAAATCCTTCTCAGATTCCTACCAAAGGAGCTCCTGAATCCCACGGTCCCCTCAATGCCCCAGGCAAGAAGGGCCCACCCAAGGAGCCGGGATTCCCCTGAGTAGAAGGCCTGCTGACTTCAGCCTTCTCCTTGGTGATTAATGGTGTTCTGCCAGCTCGGGGGTGGGGGGTGGCGCTAATCAGCTGTAGACTGATTAAGGACAAGCCAGGCAAAGTCCCAGACATGATAAACAGGAACTTTCCATCTTCCTCCCTCCCTTCCTTGTTGCCACCACTACTAACAGCAGAAGCCAGGCCCACGGTACCCCTCATGGCACACCTGGGTGGGAGGCCAGCAGATATCCAGCCACTGCTCACACTGCCCAACACCAGCCAAGCAACACTGGGTCTTCCTTCAGGTCTCCTGCTCACCTCCAGCTTCTCCCCACCTCCTTGCTCTCAACCAGGTATGGTACCAGGCCCAGGATTTCTAAACCAGCCTCCGTTCTAAAGAATCCACAATTGAGGGCTGTAGAAAGGCAGAAAGGGTGAGTTCACTACAACCTGGAGTCATGGGTCAGGGCTCCATGGAGGGGCTTTGGATAGGTTTTCTGAGTGGAGCGGTGATCCTGGAGAAAGGGGAGGACATGTGCACAGGAGTGGAGGTGAAATGAGTAGAATGCGCTCCTGGGGCAGCGAGGAACCTGGAGACAGGCCCGGAGCAGAACAAAGCCAGAGGCAAGAGGGAGATGAGTACAAGGAGGAAGGAAGAGATTAGACACAGTGCAGCCCAGCTCTTCCACAACTCCTCCACAACACATGATATCCACATGCCTGCTGCCCGGGAGGGGAGCCCCAGGGGATCTGCATCCTCACCTCTGGTTGTGATCCTGACCCTGGCCTGTATCTCTCACTTCAGAAAGCACCTGCCGGGTGCAGGCAGCCTTCATGCCGCCATGGCCCAGCCAAACCACAGTGGAAAAGCTCTCTGACATGTTAGTCTTCTACCAGATAAGGCTGTGATAAGGACAAAGGATACATTTCACCAACAGATAGCAAGAGAAATTCAGTAAGTGTGATTTCTCAAGTCCCTTCTGTTTCTGCAGGTGGAGACACGCTTCAAGCGGTGGCCAAGGCAAACGCTTATCTTCAGAGGCTTGGGAAGCACCCCACTCCCACCCTACTCTGGCTCACTCTTACCCGCTCCTTGAGTCTCAACTCAAGTTCATTTCTTCCCCTGACCCCTCCAGGATCAGATTCTATGTATTTCCCATCATCAAGTGTAATACAGGATATTAATGCATTTGGGTGACTGTCTTTACTACTAAAGATTCAATCAGCAAATATTCACTGAGCCATGAACTGTGCTAAGTTCTGGGGATATGATGAGATATAGACCTGCCTTCACAGAGCTTGTGGTCTCGGCATAAGTCTCAGCTGGTACCTAAATGGGGATCCTAACTCCAGAAGTAAGACTCCTCCCAACCCAAATAAGAATGCGACCACTCAAGCTCATTCTACTCATGGCCTCAGGCCACTCCCATGAGGACCTTCAGGTGTGGTTGCTTAGGCTGTCCACGACAGAAGAGGGCTGGAGTGGATGCTGGTGTGTGAATGTGAATGTGACAGTCACTCAGTCGTGTTTGACTCTGTGCGACTCCATGGACTATACAGTCCATGAAATTCTCCAAGCCTGAATACTGGAGTGGGTAGCCTTTCTCTTCTCCAGAGGATCTTCCAAACCCAGGTCTCTCTGCAATGTGTGCTGCCCATATCCCTCTTTCAGAGCCAAGGCACTCACTCCTCCAGCTGCTGAGAGTGTTGCCCAGTAATGGTTGGCAACTGAGCCCCTCTCCAGGATTTGTCCTCAGCCAGAGACGCACATCATTCCCCAGAGTGACATCTGCTCTGCTGTCTGCTCATCTGAAATAAGAAAGGCCTGCCCCCTTCCTTGCCTCGATCCAGGAGCTCCCAGCGGGGCTGTAGTCCTTACCACCCAATCCTCCTTCCCTCGCCACTCACTCAGGGACTGTTCCTGAGGCCACTCCTCAGGAAGATGCCTGCAGGCGAATCTCAAGTCTCAGAGTCTGTTCCCTGGGAACGTGAGAAAGAAACATGTTTGGGCAAAAATCCACTTTCATGTGTGACTGTGTCTGGTGAAAAGGACTTCTTTTTTCTCACCTGCATGAAGATGCTCCTGGTATGACTTAGCAGCAGCCCAACCCAGCCTTAGAGCTGAACCAGGGAGTGCAAACCAGTGCCGGAGGGCCTTGGCACAGGCCTGGGGAGGGAATCGGGCCTTGCAGCCAAGTGATTTAGAAGACTCTGGAGGAGAGTATATCTGTGGTAAGAAGCCCACCAGCTCCTGGAGTCTGATTCCAGCTGATTAAGAGGCACCCAGGGCGAGTATTTCTGCAAGACAGCTGGGAAATAAGCTGAGGGAAACTGTTAATCTGGGATTTTCAACAGTGTGGAAGATGTCAGACCAGTCCCAAGCACCCGAACTCAGGCCCAGTGTGTGGGAACTCACCCAGGTGGGTGTGGGAGGAGGGCGGGAGAAGCGGGAAGGAATTAGACTTGCACAAACTTCATAATTGAAATCATTAATAGCAGTAAAATAAGTTGTCCACCCTACATGTAATTTGTAGTAATGTTTGGTTACTGAGATTAATTTCTGGTAATGAAATACTAATTAAACCATTTATTGAGTAATGTATTTGCTTGGCGGTGTTTTATGGGTGTTCGCTTATAAATATTTTAATTACTTTTGCTAAGTAATTAGAATTTACTAAATAATTTCCAAACTATTTATTAATTTCTAGCAATTCTCAGCCAACCAACAAGTTATTGTTTTACTTTATATCAGTAATTAAAGTCTGGGGTTTTTTCTTTTTTAAGACTTTGAGTGAAGAGAAAGAGTAATAAATACAGTTTGTTCCACCAAGGAAGTTGGGCATATTAAAGCAAAAAAAGGGGAGACATAAAAATCACTTATAATCCAACATTACTCAAACACCATTAATAAGATAAACACATCTTTGCAGATTTTCCTTATACGCACATGTTCTGTGTTTTTCAAAATTGAGGCTGTACCAACTACATGATTTTTTGCCACCAAACTTCACCAATTTTTGTATCCTACTTACTATTCAATTAAAGTACTAAACCATTCTAAAAAGTTAAAGTCTCTAACAATTAAAAAGACTTTCTGAAAATGATATTTACTTTTTCTACCTCTACACACCTACTATATTTCAGACACTATGCCAAGTAATTTATACATTATTGGTAGTAATAAACTACTCTGTGGCACTAGTCAGTGTAAAAGTGGGCTCCCCATATGATACAGTCTTAGCATGAAGTCATCCTCAATAAAACAATGGTCTGAGAGGAAAAAAAGAAGAAACCAAAATAAATGAAACAAGGTCATGGCAAATGTAGTTCTGAGATCTGCGTTTCCTGCTTGATTATCATAAACAGTTTTCCATTTCAATAAATATGGAGAAGCAGTAATAGCCGCTTTCCTAGTTGTATAGTATTCCATGCCCCCAGTTATTATTTAATGCCTAATTGCTGGAAATGTTTGCTATTTTCAGTTTACTACTGTAAAGTGTGAGCCGCTTAGTCGTGTCTGACTCTTTGCCACCCCATGGACTGTAGCCTGCTTATGTCCATGGAATTCTCCAGGCAAGAGTATTGGAGTGGGTGGCCATTCCCTTCTCCAGCGGATCTTCTTGACCCAGGGATTGAACCTGGGTCTCCTGCATTACAGGCATATTCTTTACCACCTGAGCCACCAGGGAAGCCCCAGCACAGATTCACAAACATGCAAATCTATACTTAATAAAATATATTACTTTAAGACTCTAGTTAAAAATCAACACTTGATTCATTATAACTCAGGTAACCTAGTTCAGTTCAAACTGTGTATAACCTGGGACTCCTGCCTTGCAAGCATATTCTTTACTGCCTGAGCCACCAGGGAAGCCCACTACTATTGTAAACAAGTTTATAAATGAATGACAACACACACAGATCTGTGTGCACTTGTCAACTATTTCTTTAGAATCATATTCATAGGAGTGGAATTGATGAGTCAAATTGTAGGAACATTTTTAAGGCTTTTGATTCATGCTGCCCACATGCCTCAAGAAAAACTGAACAATTTATACTCCCATCAGTACAGCTGAAAGACCTTTCCCTGCACTATATGCAATTATTATTATTCTAAATCTCATGTCACTTCTTCTTGCTCTAAGCAGAGAGGTAGCCCAAGAAAGCATTCTGAATCTCAGCACCTCACAAACTACCATTCCATTGGCTCAGGAGAAACACAGTTGGTTGACTCATGAAGACCTACATGCTATGTCATCATAGCTTAAGTAGCACCAAAATGTTTAAAATTACTCCCTACCACACCATCCCCCTCTATCCCAGTCTCCTCCTTTCCACCCAGGACTTCCCTTCCCTGAAGCCATCAGCAGATGTGGCACAAAGGGCTTACCTCACTGCTGGCAGATGCCCACAGAACAGGACTTCTCCCTTTATCTCTTGAAAAAATATCTGCCCACCAAAGTCACAGTGCCTAAAATTCTACCATCAGTGGCACACACTAAACAGCTCCCTAAACATTCAGAGGTTATCCTGGGTGACAATTTATGTTCTGATAAGTTTTCCAGAGGCTCTCCCATCTCTTTTCCAAGGCTCCTCTCTCACTTGCTGCCAAGTCACATGGTGACTCTGGCCATCCCAAGTTCCCATCCTTAAACCTATCCCCCTCCTCAGACAGTACCACCTTGAAAAATTCTTTTAGTATGTGTGAGATGAAACCTCCTTCAAATAAACCCAAAAGTCTTCTTTTGGAGATATTTCAACAACTCTTTGAATAAAGGAGGGAGGCAAATTCAGGAGGGAAAGGTGAGCGTGAACTGAGAGAAGGATCGATACAGAGACAAAAGGGGGGTCACCAACATTGCCCCCTCCCAAAACCAAACCACAAAATGGAGCATGCAGTTGGTGCCTGGTGTTTCTCCAAAGAGGGGAGAGTTCCCACAGGCATATTGCCATGGTGCCACCATGAATTATTTCCCTCTTTTTTGCATCCATTTGCTCTCTCTCTCTAGAACATAGTGCGTCCCAGGTACTTCTCCAGGCCCTCAAAAGTTGCTCAAAGGAAGGGAAGCAAAGGTATGAAGAGCCCCCAGCATTGGCTGAACACTGGCATCACCCAGGGCTCTTTCACAAATACTGATTAATGTCTGTATCCCACCTAAAAAATTCTGATGCAGTGGCCCGGATTGATTTGGGCCTCAGAGTTTTAAAAATATCACAGATTGGGGCTTCCCTGGTGATCTAGTGGTTTAAGACTTCACCTTCCAATACAGGGAGTGTGGGTTTAATCCCTGGTCAGGGAGCTAAGATCCTACATGACTCACGGTCAAAAAAACCAAAACATAAAAACAATATTGTAACAAATTCAATAAAGACTTAAATAAAGATGAGTTTGGACTTCATCTACTAGCCAGTGGAGCCTATTAAAGATTTGTAAATCACGTAGCACTGTGGGAAACAACACTGATTGGAAAGAAGACCATGTCAAGTAAAAATAATAAGAATGAATAACAATAGAGCAGTTTTTGGATTCCAGGCACTTTTCTTAGACATATACTGTATATTTTAAAAGTATATATGAAATAAGAAAGGCTAAGAAGCTCATACAGGATAAATAAATAAATAAAACCATACTCACACCTCCAGCATATCAGAGTAAAGCTGCCAAAAAGACAAAGGCAAAGAAAAACCTTAAAAAACAGAGGGAAAAAGAAATATTACCTTCAAAGTAGTAATAACAATAACTGGCTTCTCTATAGAAACAGTGGAGGCCAGAACAAGAAGGTGAGTAGGAAAGTACAATATGTATATATAAACTACTTTACATATACTTGTTTAATCGTCACAATAACCCTAGAAGGTAGCTACTGTTACTATCACCATTTTAAATGATGAGAAAAGTGAGGCTTAAA